CATGGGTGTGACCTGGACCTTCTGCTGGACCTGGAGGCCACCAAGGGGGTGACATGGGAGGGGTGTGGCCTTGGGGACACCAGGGCTGGCCCTGGGGACACCGAATCCAGCTCAAGTGACAGCCAGTTGGACTTTGGGGACCCCCAATGTGGCCCTGGTGGCACCAAATCCAGCTCAAGTGACAGCGAGGCTGGCCCTGGTGACACCAGGTCTGGTGTTGGTGACACCAGATCCAGCCTTGGTGACACCAAATCCAGCCCTGGTGGCATCAAGTCTGGCTCTGGTGACACCAACCTTGGCCCTGATGTCACCAAATCTGACCCTGGTGCCACCAAATCTGCCCCAGGTGCCACCAACTCTACCCCTGATGTCACCAAATCTGCCCCTGGTGCCACCAACCTTGACCCTGGTGCCACCAACTCTACCCATGATGTCACCAACCTTGGCCCTGATGTCACCAACCTTGCCCCTGATGCCACCAAATCTGCCCCAGGTGTCACCAAATCTGCCCCTGATGCCACCAACCTTGACACAGATGCCACCAACTCTGCCCCAGGTGTCACCAAATCTGCCCCTGGTGTCACCAACCTTGACCCTGGTGCCACCAACTCTACCCATGATGTCACCAACCTTGCCCCTGATGCCACCAACTCTGCCCCAGGTGTCACCAAATCTGCCCCTGATGCCACCAACCTTGTCCCAGGTGCCACCAACCTTGTTTTTCCCTCCCCCGTGGCCACCCCCCCGATGTCCCCTCCCCCAGGTGAGGACCTGCTGGCCTTGGTGGCCTCTGTCCTTCGTCGCTGTGTCCCCGGGGTCCTCCGTGTCCGACCCGTCCCCACCGCCCGTCGACCCGTCGTCAAGTTCTGCCACAAGCAATCCGGGCTGGCTGGGGACATCTCTGTGGACAACAGGTGACTTGTTGGGGTGGCTTTGTCCTCAGGGGGAGGTGACACGAAGGCCACCAGAGCTTGGTGACACTCTTGGTCCTTTCAGGTTGGGCTTCCTCAACACCCAGTTCCTCCATCTCTGCTCCTGCTCCGACCCCCGTGTCCGACCCCTGGTTTATTCCCTCAGGTTCTGGGCCAAGGGACAAGGCCTGGCAGGTGACAACAACAAGGGGGGGGGACACGTTGCCACCACTTTGGGGGGGTGTCACCTTGTCACCCACCTCTCCTTGACACTTCTTGTGTCCCCCCCTCTAGGACACCCGACGGGGGGTGGTCCCGTTCTCACCAACTACGCCCTGACCCTCTTGGGGATCTTCTTCCTCCAGACCCGAAGTCCCCCAGTGCTCCCCAGTGTCACCCAGTTGAGGGAACTGGCAGGTAGGACACACGTCCCTTTGGTCACCTCTTGGTGGCCCTTTGGGCTCTTCAGGTCTAGTTGGGGACCAAGGGTTTTGGTGGTGGTGGCTCCAACGTCTTCATCCTTGAGTTGGATGAAGGGTTGATGTCCCCTCAGCTTGGGGACGTGGAGCCAGGAGGGGTTGGGGACACCCCAGAGGGTTGTGGGGCACCCTAGAAGGTCATAGGGGCACCCCAGAGGGTCATGGGGACACCCCAGAGGGTTGTGGGGCACCCCAGAGGGTCATGGGGACACCCCAGAGGGCCGTGGGATGTCCCCCAAGGGTTGGTGGTGGCTCCAACATCTTCATCCTTGAGTTGGATGAAGGGTTGATGTCCCCTCAGCTTGGGGACGTGGAGCCAGGAGGGGTTGGGGACACCCCAGAGGGTTGTGGGGCACCCCAGAGGGTCATGGGGACACCCCAGAAGGTCGTGGGGACACCCCAGAGGGTCATGGGGACACCCCAGAAGGTCGTGGGGACACCCCAGAGGGTCATGGGGACACCCCAGAAGGTCGTGGGGACACCCCAGAGGGTCATGGGGACACCCCAGAAGGTCGTGGGGACACCCCAGAGGGTCATGGGGACACCCCAGAAGGTCGTGGGGACACCCCAGAGGGTCATGGGGACACCCCAGAAGGTCGTGGGGACACCCCAGAGGGTCATGGGGACACCCCAGAAGGTCGTGGGGACACCCCAGAGGGTCATGGGGACACCCCAGAGGGTTGTGGGGCACCCCAGAGGGTCATGGGGACACCCCAGAGGGCCGTGGGATGTCCCGCAAGGGTTGGTGGTGGCTCCAACATCTTCATCCTTGAGTTGGATGAAGGGTTGATGTCCCCTCAGTTTGGGGACGTGGAGCCAGGAGGGGTTGGGGACACCCCAGAGGGTCATGGGGACACCCCAGAGGGTTGTGGGGCACCCCAGAGGGTCATGGGGACACCCCAGAGGGTCATAGGGGCACCCCAGAGGGTCATGGGGACACCGCGCCCCAGAGGGTCGTGGGGACCCCGCAGAGGGTTTTGGGGCACCCCAGAGGGTTTTGGGGACACCCCAGAGGGTCATGGGGACACCCCAGAGGGTCGTGGGGACACCCCAGAGGGTTTTGGGGACAGCCCAGAAGGTTGTGGTGTCACCCAGGGGGACCTGGAGAGGGTTGAAGCTCCTGAGGGTCACCAAGGGTGATGTTTTCCACCCATGGAGCAGGACAGGGTTGGGGGGGACCTGTTTGGGACAAGGACCTCGTGGTCTTGGTGGCCCAGAAGGTCCTTGGCCTCCTGGGGGGGGGGGGCCATTCATAAGACGGGGA